AAATACTCAAACAGACTGATAATGATTAACCAATCAACACAAACTAAACAATTCAACTCACTCAGCGGATGGTATTAGTTCAATCAAACTCATAACTAAAACCAACAAAAATCAAGAATTCACTTACTAGTGTTCCCATCTTTCCTCAAACAAACAAAATAGAAATGATCACTAAAAGACCACAAACCGTAAAGACATGAACTTCAACAATCAAAGTCAAGCAATCCTCCGATCAACAAAAATCAAGCTAACAGCTGAAGCAAAGAATGCAAATTTCACCCAAGTTTCAACCTTTCAACTCATTCAGAAGCTGTTCCGAAGGAAACCAAACTGGAATCTTGAAGTTTTGAGCATGAACCACTAAGGGGAATGAAAGAACCCACAAACAAATACAACAACTACGCTTCAGTCCCAACTACCAAATAAGTTGGGGTCGGCTATATAAATACTCACTTCTTCATTTAAACTCATTTCATAACATTCTCATACGAAATAAAATCAGACTAATCATCCAATCAACAAAACTCAAACCAACACTTGAAGCATAGAATCAAAAATTCATTAAAGATTCAACCTTTACTTCACTCAACAACTGTTCCGAAGGAAACGGAGCTGGAATCTTTAATTTTTAAGCATGACCAATAAAGGGAAAGAGAAAATTCATAATAATCAAACTTAAGCAAAACCATTATTCATAAGAATTCACATACTGCTATAGTGCTATTCCCATGTTTCCTCAAACAAACAAAACACACAAAATTGTCAGAAACCACAAAGGCATGAACTTTAACAATCAAACTCAAACAATCATCCAATTAACAAAAGTCCATTTTTTTTATTCTTTTACCCCTCCCCAGTAAGCTCCCACCTTTTTTGCTCCCTAGCTTACTCGAACTCACAACCTCAGTGTTGGAGGCGAAAGGTGCTTACCGTCCGAGCAACCCCTCTTATCAATCAATCAACAAAACTCAATCTAACAGCTGACGAAAGATCAAAACTTAATCCAAGCTTCCGCCTTTAACTCACCTCAGCAGCTGTTCTGAAGGAAACCAAGCTGGAATCTAAAATATCTAAACATGATCCAGTAAAGGGGAGAGAATTCATAAAAAATAACTCAAGCAAAACCATTACACATAACAAGGCTCACAACAAATGGTATTAGTTCAACCAAAATCTAACTCAAATCAAGAATTAACATACTGCTATTTCCATCTTTCATCAAACAAACAGAACAGAAATGACCATCAAAAGGTCACAAACCACAAAGACATGAACTTTAACAATTAAACTCAAGCAATCATTCAATCAACAAGAGTCAAATTATTAACCTCCCATACTTTTTGCTGACTCAAACCAACAACCTCATGAATTGTAGACACCCCTCTTTATCAATCAATCAACAAAACTCAAACTAACAACTGAAGTAAAGTATCAAACTTTTTTTAAAGATTCAACCTTTAACTCACCTCAACAGCTATTCTGAAGGAATCTTGAAATTTTAAGCATAACCCAACAAAGGAAAAGACTCAATTTTTATTTCTACAAAGTCACAGATCTCAAGGGAATTGATTAAAGCAAAAGGGACAAATTCAGTGATATGAGACCACCAAGGTGGATATCTAACATGGGGTTTCCTTGAGAATAACAAATGCAGAAAAATACACAGCTAAAGAATCAGAATATGAACAATTCCAAAAGAATTTTTCAAAGCTAGCAAAAAAGTCACAATATAATGGAGCTTCCAATGAATACTTATACTAGTAATATAATAATAATAAGAAAAAAAAACACAATAGCAAAGAAAATGGAAAGAAGCTAGTCTTTCAATTTTTGTTTAATTGTTGAAAAATGCATATTTGAGTCTAACTAAATTTAAATATTCAATCAAAAATAACATTCAGAGTTAATATTTTTAGTATTTGTACAATGTTGAAAATTTCTAATTATTTTTATTCCATTTTTGACCAATTAATAAATATTTTTGAAATAAGATTAGTATGATTTCATTTTTAAATAAATTAATAATCTATTAGAGAAAGATAAAGTAAAAAAGATATAATGACTTTTCTATAAATTATGTAAAAGAAAAATATAACAATTAATATAGAAAGAATAAAATGTTTTTTAATGTTATGTTGTTTTCAAATATTGGGCACTCACCTACCATCACAAATATGAAATGTTAGGTACTTTTTATAAAATAAAATATTTATTCAAGTTAGCTTGTATATGTATTTTATTTATTTTATCAAATACTATTTTTTTTCCAAACAAATATATTTGATTGGTGATATTTTGTTAAATTGTAAGAAATATTAAAGCTGAAATTAAAAATATATTTGAAAGTTTGTTTGGATGTTAATTTTACTTTGAAGGAAATTGAATTTTTGTGAATAAAAATTTTAATTTAAATGAAAAATCTTCAAAAATATTTTCTCAAAATAATTTTAATGAAAAGTTTTAAGAAAAATTAGGAAAAATGCACAAGTACTTCCTAGACTATAACCAAAATCTAAAAAATGCATCTTAATTAAACCAAAGTCCTATTACTTCCTAAACTTATTTTTTTTGGTAATTTTGTGTACCTTTTTGGCGTATATGACATCAACGCGTCTCAATTGCGTTGAGACACGTGTGTCGCGTTAGACAAAAGATACATAAAATTATAAAAAATAAGTTTATGGAAGGTAATAGAACATTAATTTAATTAAGATGTTTCTCAAAAATTTTGATTATAGTCTAAAAATACTCGTACATTTTCCCGAAAAATTAGTTGGATAATTAATGATCTCAATGTTCACTTTCTCAGCATTTATTTCTCCCAACAATTTTTTTCACACCTAATAATATAAATTGATAGATGAGGTTAGTGGTCCTATTTTATTTCCTTTTTCTTCTCTTTAAAATTAAAATAAAGTCACCTAAAATAAAAATCACTAAAAAAATTAATTGTATAAAATAAAATGACTAAAATGATATATAACTACTTTGGTTGTATTAAAAGCTAAATCATACATATGGCATTAATATTATGAGTCTCATTTTTAATTATGTAATGATACATTAGGAAAAAAAAATATATATATATATATATATATATATATTTATAAATTTTCTAACTTATTTCACAAAAATATAAATACTTATTAGGTTTTTTACATTATACACTTAATGTCAATTTTGTTTGATGCGCTACTTTAAAAATAAACCCTATATACATAAATTTAAATCTAATCAGATTTTAATATAATTTTGAATATCTTAAAAATAAAAAGTACACAGTAAGTGCTTCATAATTACACAAAGGATTACTACCAACTTAATTTTATTTCTTTTTTTTAAAAAAAAATGATGTCCAATTATATTAAAAAAATCTACTTTTGGGTGAGTTCTAATCCCATCAAAAAAAGTTCTTCAAAATAATAATTCAAAATAAATATTTAATAAGTTTTATTTAAAAGTAGGTTGGCTTATTTTTTGTTATTACTATAGATCATTAAAGATGTTACGATACGATAAGTATATTTTAATTTTTAATTAAAAGTCTTATATTTATGTTATGAGATCTTTTTTGGTGAGAAACTTCAATTTTAAAATGAAATCACCTTATGACAATTTAAATTAATTGAATTCATAATGAATATAAACTATCTCAATTTTTAGACGGAACAATTAAATCCATCATTTTTCATGCAAATAGCGAAATTGAATAATTTTAATATTAATTAATAATACTCATTATCAAAAACAGAATAACATAATTATGAATTTGATCCTTTTTGCTTCTCTCTATTTTGTCAATAAGCTGAATAAATTTAGACAATAAGCTTTTTCCTATTTTGTCAAAAAGGGTCAGTTCAGCCTCACCTAGCCCAAGTTTCGTAGGTTAAGAAATTTAATAGGCTAGCTGGGCTGATCCTTCATTTCGAAAGACCTAAAAATACTCAACTCAATCCAACCCTAGAAAGGTTGAGGGCTGAGGCGGGCTAGCCTTTTTTGTTTCTTTCTTTCTTTCGTTATTTTTCTTTTCAAACGTCAAATTATATACATCAAGAAAATGAAAAGATTTTAAAGCAAAATATGGCAAACAATGATGTTGATTTAATAACAATGGTAAAAAATCCAGTGTAACTAACACGTATCTAGAATACTAGATGCACGCGATACACGTATATAGTGGATGCATCCGAGATACACAAGTGAAATGGGAGGGAGGCGAGGGCGAGAGATTTATGTATGTATCCTAGATACATGTGAATCCACTCGAATAAAATGTATCTAGAATAAATGAACCTAATTTTTTAGTTCATATATCCTGAGATACATTTATCCGACGTACCAAAATCTGGTAAGATTCGTAATTACAACATAACATGCAATTAAGTAATTGACTCATATAGTAGTGAGATTGTTGTAAGGTACCCTTAAACAAATAGTTTCGGCCCATGCACCAACCCCAATTAAGTCTCAACAGTCCTGTTTTTATATGGGTCAAACTTATAAACCCTAATTTTAAATGGATCATACCCCAATAATGGGCTGGATTGGGTCTGCCCCATCGACTAAGCACATTTTGACGGCTTTAATTCTTCCTATACTTTTGGAAGTGAAATGAAACCAATTTGTTCACGAGAATTGTTTATTTATCTAAATTTTTTTAATTATTTAAAAATTAATATTTCATCATAAAAACCTAATATAACTTAAACTTTATAAAATTATGCGTATTTAAAACTTTATAATTATAAATATTCATTTATAAAAAAAATATGAAAATATTTGATTTATCAATTACAATATTTTACGATATCTCGATATCATGTTTACGAACTACGATTCACTCATTTGATAATATTATGTAAAAAATGAAAAATTAATAATAATTTTCATGATTTATAAGATTTTCATATTTATAATAAAAAATAAAATTTTGATTTTGATTTTTTTAAAAATACATTTAATCAAGAATTCAGATTCATATAATCTAATCTCATATAGTATTTGCTTTTGTTCTTCACCCCCTTTTGCCCTCTTCTCTCACACATTTTCTTTACCAATACTCCACAGACAAATTCACACAAAATCTTTGTTTTTCTTCAAAAGGGTTGCTTCTTTATGCAATTTGATCCATACCCAGAAGAGTTTCTTGTTCTATATATTCAAAATTTGCTCTGTAGGGTTATCGCAGTGGTATCCTTTGGATTTTTTCGGTTTTTATCAACCCCATATCAGCAAAAGTTATAATCGGTTGGTTTTCTTCATACCCATCTCGATTTTTTGTTCTAATTTGCGATGTATGTTTGGAGTTATTCAATTTTAGATTGTGGGGTCGATTTGGTGTAAAAAAGATTGCATTTTTTTTTTCAGGGTTGGTGATTTTTTGTTGTTGAAAGTTATGGTGTCTTCGATGTTTTGCTATGAATCAAGTGAAACAGAGACGGATTATACTCCTTTTAAGAGATTAAAGTCTTTAGAATTGATGGGAATGGATATAACTTCAATGGGTTCTATTGAGGATGAAAAACATGATGATGTAGTGTCTACGATGGATTTAACTGTTGGGTATTGTCCATTTTCAATAAAGTTTGTATTTTTTAGTTTTGTGTTCACACACCAAATTATTATAGGGTGCAGGGTGATAAACACAGCTAAAATATTAGTTTCATACATGAACTGTTAGGTGAGTGAGTTTCCTATGTGTACTATCACTATATTTTTATATCAACGCACATCATTGCTCAAGTATGATACTCAATTGAAATACTTTAGGTGTGTTTTGACCCTTTTAACTCTTATTTTATACTTTTATTAATTGTTATGTTTTTCTGGTTTGGTGTGATATTTTCAGTTGCTTGCAAAATTTTGCTTCACCATTGTGTGTTGAGATGAGTTGTCAGTCTAATGGAGAGAGTGAAAACGTTTCGACGCCTTGTGATGCCGGTGGCAGTTCAACAATTGACAAGAGTAGTATGGTGTACCCACAAGCTGTACTTGCAACTGGATGGATGTATGTCAATGAACAGGGTCAAATGTGTGGTCCTTACATTAAGGAACAGTTGTATGAGGGTCTGTCTACTGGTTTTTTGCCGGAAGAACTTCACGTTTATCCTGTCTTAAATGGGGCCATTTCGAATGCAGTGCCCTTAAAGTATTTCAATCAATTCCCTGAACATGTTGCGACTGGATTTGCTTATGTAATGGTTTCGTCCTCTGGTGCAAATGGACCAACGGATAAGTCCATGGGAGTTGCCAAAGATTCAGGAGGAAATGAAATGGATTTGCAAACAACTTCCCCCTATTCTAACTCGGTGGCTCAACATGGAACTCATTTGTTGAACCAACAGATGGCTACCACTGGCTCTGCTGGAACACTTGCTCCGTCTACCACTTCGGTACTTTCTCTTTTACATTTAAGGATTTATGTTGTTCTGTGGTGATACTTTTTTAATTACTTGCTTCTTCAAGCCGCTGTGCGTAACTTTGTGTCTCCTAGAGGTGTCACCTTTTTCTCCAAAAAAGAAAAAGAAATTGACTCTCGTAGAGGCGAAAAATATAATTTCTTGCAGTCACAATTTGTAACAAATGTAATTATGTAATATGGAGGAAACAAATAGACTTTTATTGTTTTGATGGAGAACAAATAGACTTCTTGTATTTTCTGCAATTTCGATTCCCTTACTTATGACTTTCTTTGCTTAATATTGTGTGTGAAATAGGTCAACGAAGAATCGTGTTGGTTCTTTGAAGATCATGAAGGGAGGAAACATGGGCCACACTCTCTTATGGAGCTTTATTCATGGTGTCATTATGGATACATTGTGGATTCAGTGATGGTGAGTTTGTGTTCCCTAGTATTTTTCTAGGTCCTATATTTAGCTCTGTAGTACATGGTGCAGATGTTTCTCCTACTATCCCAGCCTTTCTCTGTTGGAAGATGTTTGTTATATTATGTTGAAGGTACAATTGGATTTTCTGAGCTATAGGCTATATGTAAACTGAACATGTGTCAAACAGTTAATCGGGTTTTGATGGGTGGAATGCCTTGATTGAGCTGCTTCACTGCTACTGATCACTTAAAGTTTTTAAAATTAGATATGGCTGGGTTTTAGTCGTGAAGTATAAAAAATGGGAGAACTCTTTTTGACTTAATATAAGTATTTCTATGAGTGCATAATTTTTTTTTTACTATAGAAGCAAACTTGGGGAGGTGGGGAGTGGCCCGTTTATATTGCTTTACGAATAATCTAGGAAATGGAGCCTTTTTGTTTGTGATACTGTTGTACATACAGTGGGAACTTAATAGGATTCATTTCTGTAAAGGTGAATTCTCAGAATTTCTGTTGTGCAAAGTTCTATTACCATAATTTCTTGCATATTCCAAAAAGCATCCTGTTCGTGTTTCTGTATGGGCTCGTTGGATCTCTATTGTTCTTGTTGTCTTTTTCTTCCTCCCTGCTTGTGTCAAGTTGGCCTTACTTAACCCGTAGTCTCTTCCCATTTTCTCTGTAGGATTATATTCTCACTCATCTTCCGATATTTTCCAAACTTGCCATTTTGAATTTGGCATAGTTTTCCTACATTCTTTGTGCTTGTTGCTTGGTTAATGGTCTTCTCAAAACTTGGAAAGGTCTATCTACAAAGTATTAGTCTATTGTACTTTTTTTTTTTGAGAAAGGTAACTTTTTGCAGTCTATTGTGCTTTTATATAAATTGTTCTACACGGCACTGTTCGAACTGAACCCAAAATTAACTAAGCAATTCTGTGAAGTAGTATCCTCTTTTCTTTACCAATCTTCACATCAGTTAACTTTATTTCCCCTTTTTGAATTATCCCATGAGTTTCAATTTGCTTCCCTCTGTTTTTCAAGCCTCATATAGTTTAACTATTAATTTAAGTTCTAGACCGTTGGACAGACAGTTCATGGTTTCAATTATTAATGAGTTTAAAACTGGAGAGTTCAGTCATTTGCAACATAGTGATAATCACGAGAGAATTCTACTCTTTTAAGTAGTTCCTTTTAATTGTTACTTAGGTCTCTGAACTAATTGCTTCAATGTTAATTAGGGCTTCTACTTTATTTTTTGGGTACATTTACATCTCTATGAATACCTCCTTGCCTCATCTAGTAGGTTATTTTACGTTTTACAAGTTTCTTTAAGTTTTTGTTCCCATAGAAGAGCTATGATAACTAAGCACAAATTAAGTTTTCTTTTAACTGATTTTGTGTTGAATTGAGGATTTTGACCTGTTCTTCCCTTATCGCTTGCATTTGTTGGAGATTGTCCAACTCTTTCATGCTATGTGATGCTACACCTAAGTGGTATGTGCTTGCTCATTGATGTTGACTTTTGCAGGTACATCATGTTGCTGGTAAGTATAGACCATTTAGTTTGAAATCTTTGATTAGTAGTTGGACTACGGCTACCCCTGGAGCTCTCTTTTTGTCTAATCCCGATGGGCATGAGACTGCATCTTTACAAGATTTTGTATCCGAAATTTCTCAAGAAGTATGTTCCCAGCTACATATGGTTATCATGAAAGCAGCCCGTAGGACTCTACTCGATGAGATTGTTAGCCATGCAATTTCAGAGTGCATCTCTGAAAAGAAAGATCTCAAGAAAGCCGCTAATCAAAAGAAAGTCACTAATCAAAAGAAAGTCATTAATCAGTCTGTCAAGATGTCATCTCCTGGTACCAGAATGGTAAATAATGTTCAAGCATGGAATAGAAGTGAGTCGAATTGAAATTTCGAATCTTGCATGCTACTTATCATTTATGTGAACAGTCTGCAGGTTGTGGTGGCAGTAAGGCCTTAATTGATCCTGAGAGGAGTGCAGAAGCTCCTAATCTTCTTAACTGGGAATCTGCTGCTGCTGAAATCCCTTCGAAGTCTTCAGGAAGCTCGAAATCTGTTGGAAGCTTTGAGAACTATTGTGATTCTTATACAGTTGTTTGCAGGAAAGTATTCGATTCTTGCATGCATAGCATCTGGAATGCTGTCTTCTATGACCATGTTTCAGAGTATTCATCTGCGTGGAGGAAGAGAAAACTATGGTCACCTCCTTGTCTGATGGTTGAATCGAGTATTCAAGCAGTATCATATGCTAATTGCACCACAAAGCTTTCTACTGAAGTTGTAAGCTTTTTATGCTTATTTTGGGGTCATTTTGCAGTGCTTGCGTATCCCTTCTTACTGACAGACCTATAACATTATAGTTGCAAGGGGAGGAAGAATCCTTTCCCCCAGGGTTTGAGAAGAAGAATGTGACGGTGGATTTGCCACCAGTTTCGTCATCAAAAGATTTCACCGTGGAGCTTTCTACTGAAGTTGTAAGGTTTTCTATGCTGTTGTTTTTCCTGTCAATTTGCAGTGGTTATCTTTGCTGCCTTATAGATTGACTTATGACTTTGCAGTTGCAAGTGGAGGAAGAATCTTTTGGCTGTGATCCTGATTACCCCCCAGGGTTCGAGGAGAAGAATATGACAGCAGATATTCCTTCAGTTTCGTCATCAAAAGATTGCACCGCGGAGCTCTCTACTGAAGTTGTACGCATTTTTATGCTGTTGTTTTTCCTGTCAATTTGCAGTGGTTGTGTGCGCTTTCTTACAGACTGACTTATGACTTTGCAGTTGCAAGTGGAGCAAGAATCTTTTGCCTGTGATGTTGATTTCCCCCCAGGGTTTGAGGAGAAGAACTTGACAGCGGATTTGCCTTTAGTTTTGCCATCGAAAGATTGCACCGTGGAGCTCTCTACTGAAGTTGTAAGTTATTTTATGCTTATGTTTTTCCTGTCAATTTGCAGTGGTTGTGTGTGCTTCCTTACAGATGGACTTATGACTCTGCAGCTGCAAGTGGAGCAAGAATCGTTTGGCTGTTATCTTGATTTCCCTCCAGGGTTTGAGGAGAAGAATATGACAGTGAATTTGCCTTTAGTTTCATCACCTTTTAATGATGAGAGGGTGTTGTCGAGATCCAGTCATGCAACAGACCCTGAAGCTAATGATTGTATACAACCTATCGTTGAGAGAGTATTGCATGAACTCCACTTGTCTGCAAAGATGTCCTTGGGGAAGTATTTCACTAGTCTTTTGCATGAAGAGGCGATGGGAAAAGTTGATTTGCTTAAAGACGGCATGATAATCAAGGTGAATATTTGAACTTGCTGTGATCTGTGTAAACTATATCCCTCTCCCCTAGAAGTGCATAGGTGGGGGAGAGACTTTGTTGAAGTAATCCCTTACCTGATAATGTTTCCCCTGTATAATTCGAGATGCCAATGCTTACCGCAATATAATGAACTGCAGCATCTCAATGAACAGTTCTGTTCTGCAGGTTGCTGAGGACCCAAATACTTTTAGTGGCGCTGCATGTCAAAATGATTCTTCTGAGGCCATTTTGGTGTCAGAAAACTTAGCACATGTTGATATTCAGAATACTTCCTCGTGCAAAAGTTCATTGCACCAGAACTCTATTGATCCATATGTGATTCGTGTGTCAGATTGGTTTTCAAGTGCATTTCAGAAGTCTGCCAGTTTAGACAGTGCCTCCAGTAATGAAATGACTGATGAGCTGCAACCACCTGAATGCGAAGCTGTTCCTGTACAAACTTCTAAAGTTCGACTTGCTAGGTCTGATGATTCTATTTTGAGAATAATATGGTATGCGACCCTGTCAAATTGCCGGCAGAGGGTACATGAGAAAGCACTGAGGGAGTTGAAAAGTTTTCTTGTTGATGATATAATTAGAAACTTTTTGACAACTTCGTCTTCTGCAAGGAGATGTAGTAAATCAGAGGATTCTCAGGTGAGTGCAATTGTTGGTTTTCTAAAATATAGTTCAAAGAGTTTAATTTTTTTTTTCATTTCACTGAGTTAATTTTTCCCCCTCAGTCCAGAGAGTTGATTCTTCCCCTAAATTTAGAGATCAAATTTCCTCAGTGTAAAGAGTTAATGCTTCTGAATGCTACTTTTGTTTTGTCAGGTTACAAGAAGCAAAGCGGGTAATGAGACACGTGATAAATCTCCAGTTGCATTAAGCAAAAGTGGGGATGGTTCTCCTAAGGTACCTACAGCAGTGGGGAAATATACATACTACCGAAAGAAAAAGATGGTTAAAAGAAAGTTAGGCTCTTCATCGCAGCCTCTCCTCGGTGGAGACATTGGCTATGAAAAGAGTTCTATTAACAAGTCAAGGAAAAAAGATCTCTCGGGAGAAGCAACAGCGAAGACTAAAGGTGACAGTGCAACTTCAAGTGAGAAGGAAATTGGGCTTAAAGATTGTCGCAGAGAGTTGTTCACTAATGCCTCTTTAGTTGTTCCTCCATCATCGCTTACTAGTTGTAACACGAGCTCAGAGAAAGATGCTTCTGTCTACAAAGGTATTTCAGTTTTCTTGAGTTTTCTCAAATATTACCAGAATGGACATTATATTAATTAGACATATTTGCCATACTGTACTAAATTATGCAGCGGGGAAAAGTAATGCAAGCCGCAAAAAACTGAAGGCCACTTTTGTTGCTGAGGTCTGCAGTGATAATGGAGAGGTTTCTCCAGACATTGTCTTTAGAAAGAGATCTATTCGCAAGAAGTCAAGGAAACAAGATCTCTTGGTGGAGGCAACGGGGAGCACTAAAGTTGACAATGCAGATCTAAATGGCATTGAAATTAGGCCAAAAGATTGTCGTAGAGAGTTGTTCACTAATGCTTCTTTAGTTGTTCCTCCATCATCTGTTACTAATTGTAACACTATCTCAGAGAAAATTTCATCTGCTTCCAAAGGTATTTTAGTTTTCTTGAGTTAGTTTTTTCAAATGTTCCCAGAATGGACATTATATTATTGATGATGTTCATCATACTGGTGTAAATTTTTCAGCGAGGGGAAGTAGTGCAAGCCGCAAAAAACTGAAGGATGCTTTTGTCGCTGAGGTCTCCAGTGATAATGGGAAGGTTGGTGAAGATGTTGGCTTCAAAAAGAGATCTATCGACAAGTCAAGGAAACAAGATCTCTTGGGGGAGGCAACAGAGAGCACTAAAGGTGACAATGCAGCTTTAAATGTTAAGGAATTTGGGCTGAAAGATTGTAGCAGAGAGTTGTTGACTAATAAGTCTTTAATTGTTCCTCCATCATCGGTTATTAATTGTGACATTATCTCAGAGAAAGTTGCGTCTTATTCCCAAGGTATTTCAGTTTTCTCGAGTTAGTTTTTTCATATTTTATTAGAAGAGGACATTTTATTTATTGACATGTTTATCATACTGTTTAAAATTTTGCAGCGAGAAGAAGAAATGCAAGCCGCACAAAACTGAAGGCTGCTAATGTCACCGAGGTCTCCAGTGATAATGGAATGGTTGATGGAAACATTGGCATCAAAAAAAGAACTATTAACAAGTCAACGAAGCAAGATCCCTTAGGGGAGGAAACGGAGATCAATAAGGGTGACAATGCAGCTTTACATGTTGAGGAAATTGGATTGAAAGATTGTCACAAAGAGTTATTCACTAATGCGGCTTTAGTTGTTCCTCCATCATCGGTTATTAATTTTAACACCATCTCAGAGAAAGTTGCATCTGTTTCCCGAGGTCTTTCAGTTTTCTTGAGTCAGTTTTCTGAAATGTTACTAGAATAGACATTATATTAATTAGTCATGTTTATCATACTGTACTAAATTGTGTTGCAGGGAGAAGTAATACAGGCCACAGTAAACTGAAGGCTACTTTTGTTGCCGCAGACTCCAGTGGTGATGGAAAGGTGTCTGAGGTTGCGAACAGGGAATTGGGTACTCAAGAAATGCAGCCACCCTCTTGTTCAAAGAAGACTCCTAAATGTTAGCGTTTATATTTCATTTAAATTGATGCTCTATTTTTCCTTTTTCTAATGTTATAAGTGTTCACGTGATCTCTCATGTTTATTGCCTCATTAATATGTGTCTTGGTGGGTTATTGAAGCAGCAGCCAAATTACCGGATTTGAAAAAGAGAAAACTAGAGGATAATCTGACAGCATCTCGTTCAAGAAAAATTCAGAAACAATCAACTGGTGTTGGCAACCAAGCTGCAACAAAGGTGGCTACTCCAGAGAAGAACCAGAAGGGTAAATCCCGGATAGCAAAACATTGTTCACAATCAGTTGGCTGTGCTCGAACTTCGATCAATGGTTGGGAGTGGCGTAAATGGTCGTTAAGGGCAAGTCCTGCCGAAAGGGCTCGTGTTAGGGGAACTAAGGTTGTTCATATTCAATCTGCTAGTTCAGATGCTAATGGTTCTCAAATGTTAAATGCTAAGGGAATTTCTGCAAGAACAAATAGGGTTAAGTTGCGCAACCTCCTTGCTGCTGCCGAGGGTGCTGACCTCTTGAAAGCTACTCAATTGAAGGTAACATGAGAATTTGCCTTGTTATATGTATTGCTTTTACTTTACTACAATTAATAAGGGAGAAAGAGAGAAAATTCTTCCTTTTCTTCTTATTGTGGAAATAGATCGCACCTGCAGCTTTTGAAATGCATTTAACTGTTAAGCCTTCTTACCTCTTCTATAATCCCTTGTTTTACCCTTTCTTTTTCACTTCATTTAATAACAATAAAGGCTCCTGTGCACTTTGATAAATTTAGCAATGTTTGGGTTCATTTGTTTTGCTCCAAAAGCATTCAAGGCAGTGACATCATATGCACCATGACAGTGACATTTGTATTTTCATTATTGTTTTAAAAAGGGGCAAGTATGCATATAAATTTAGTTTGAGGAGCTTATGGTCATGCAATTTATTTTAATTAGGTTTTCGTTACTTAGATTCTTCATCTCTAATTCAAATGCTGACATATATTACTCCATTTATCATTTTACATTCATTTCAAAGAATGACATATATTGCTCCATTTATCATTTTACATTCATTTGAAAGATCATATACAGTTTTTCCCCATTAATCTTTTACAGATCTTTAACTTTTTAAAAAATGTTCTTTTAAAGTTATGTCTAGTAAGTATCTGAGTTGCTCTTCTTACTTTTTTTTTTTTCCATAGATCTTTAAATGTTGATTGTCATTAATGAATGTTTATGTATTGAGGTACTATACAACACTTCCATATTTCAACTTAAATCTTTCTATGAAGAGCTCTTGGGATTTTTTAAACTTAGCGAACAGTAACATCTTAGCAGCTATAAAGGAAAGGAAGATCATATTGAAGTTTGAAAGATAATGTAAGGATAAGTTTTCCTTTTTAACTATTATGCACCAAAAAGATTACTGAAAAGGAGAAATGATAAAGGAAGAATCACCAAGAATATAACAAAAGCAAATTATTTAATAGAGAGCATCATATTAGTTCTCTCTTATTTTGTAAAACAGGAGAAGAAAATTTATGTGGCTTCAAAGACTTGCTTTTTTATTTTAAAAATAACTTAATTCTTAAAAAAACCTCTTAAGATACTAGAAATCGTTTAATAATAACCATATCGTTGATTTTTTTTTTTGAATTGTGTCCAATAATATTTTATCATTGTTAGTTTTTTGAATTGTTAACATTGCTGAAATAATTTATTATGCCCATTTATTAAAAGGATATTGATAAAACTTATATACTTTGTGCATTGATTGTTGATTAACTATCTATAACAAAAAAATAAGTCAAGAGTTAGATTAGTAAATTGTGTTCAATGTAATGCTTGTGCTTGTGCTCAGAACGGGCGATTTCTATATGTTATATTTTTCTTTTGTGGTTATATACAAGTTACATATTCATCTATGTCTTTTGTAGGCTAGGAAGAAGCGCCTTCGCTTCCAACAAAGTAAGATACATGACTGGGGTCTTGTTGCCCTTGAGCCTATTGATGCTGAAGACTTTGTCATTGAATATGTTGGACAGCTGATACGTCGTCGTGTAAGAGCATTGCTTCCAAACCTCAATTACATTCCAGCTTGCTGCTTTTGCCGCAAGTTCTCTTCATACATCTTGGTGTCATAGCTTTGTTTATTTGTGTACAAGTGATTTTGTTTGATTGTCTGAAACACTGTCTCAAGTGTTCATTTATTGAAATCTTACTCCTCTCCTTTTTGAGTCTCAGGTATCTGATATACGAGAGCACTATTATGAAAAGATAGGAATTGGGAGCAGTTACCTTTTCAGACTGGATGATGATTATGTGGTGAGGAAGTAGTTGGAGATTCAATTTCTTATAGAATCTACTTGATGATGTGAATTCCTCTCATGTTCTATTATGGATAGAATTATTTTTTATACAAATCCTGGAAAGGGGAGACATGTTAGGATGAAATGCCTTTTAACCTGAAGTCGGTCCAAAGCAAAATGAAGTAGAAATTCTATTCTAGCTGTGCTCTGTCTGTCTATATGTATCCTAAAAACCATTACTCTTGGATCGAACTGATGCTAGGATAACTTGTTATCCCAATTTGATTGCCATATATTGTTCTTAAAATGTTATTGCTGTACTGTGTGTTTGAGAAGATCATGTTAGAGAAGCAAGAAGGCATTATTTTCTTTATGTCCCAAAATCTGTTTGTAGGAAGCTCATTGATAAGTCCTTCCATTACTCACAACAAAATCTCATTGCATTAGAGCAATGCAAAAATAGGTGATCAGATCCTATCAATTTTTTTTCTTTGGAACTGTAGATTTTATCAATTTTAATGCTAGGATAAATAGCTTTTTGGCTTTTCTACTTTTGAGAGATTCAGGTTTAAGTTTTCCATGACCAAAGACCATGTTAAAGGTCCAATATTTGTTCTAATTGTTTATATCCTAAAAAGATTTGACGTGGGATTGAAAAAGGGGAGCCTGGTACAAAAAGTATCCCGCATTTTCGCAGGGTCGAGGAAGAGATGAACCCAAGGGGTGGGATATCAAGGAGAATTTAACTTCTCATAATGTTCTCCATGCATGTGTACTCCAAGGAGCTTAGTTTTAAATAGGTTGTAAATTAAGGGGTTGTTTGGTTCACATGCGAGGACTATTTATGCGGTGAATAATATTGATGGACTTTTATGCAATGGCTAATAATGTTGAATCTTTTGGAAACAACCTCTCTATCCAGTTGTCTCAAAAACAAAAATCTCTCTATCTAGAGGTAGGGGTAAGGTCTGCGTACTGCTGTGCAAGGTATCTTGTTGACTAATAATGTCGAGAAATGAAATTGCGGTGTGACCAATCAATCACGCTAAGTTGATGTTCTCCAAAACCACCTGGAGAAAAGATAAAAGGAGTAGCACAAGCCAGTGTGAATAATAAGACAAGGAATGTTATTTAGGAAATACTTGCTTTTTAAGAGTACCTTTGTCTTTAAATACTTTATCCCCATATACACATTCTACCCCTCATAAAATGATACATAGATTACTGCATAGCTAGTGCAGTAATTAGTTAAACACCGTGGAACAAACTTTGCATTATCTTTGTGATTATTTTTCTTATATGGCCAACCAAACACTGCATAATTTTGTACGAGATTTGATGCTGGGATTATTTTTTCTAATCCCTCACACCAAACGGCCCCAAGGATTTAGGTGTTTTTCTTGCTGAATTTGAAAGCCATTGCTTAATCTTGTAATCAAAATCGCTGTTGTGTGTTTCTGGAATAGTCGATGCAATTCTCACATTACCAGGGGTTGCAAGTGAGTTGTGATAGCTTTGGGTGTAATGCTAAAGCTAAAGGAATGCTTATCCAATTTATGCAATTTTGCTGGGAATCAGTCTAAGAGCCTGTTTGGATTGGCTTTTAGTTTTTGACTTATAAGCCATGAGTTAGAAATTTTAACTTGTGACTTTCGACTTATCCAAATACTCCAAAAGTGCTTAAAAGCTATTTTGGCTTAAAAACACTTAAAATAAACCAAATCCAAACACTCTAATTATCCGATCTTGAACCAATAGTCATAATTTGTTGCATATTTTGAAAAATTGTTAATTTCATAAAGATTGAGCGGCCATTTCTTAATAACTGACCATATTTTATGAAGGTTGATGCGACAAAACGTGGTGGTATTGCCAGATTCGTAAACCATTCTTGTGAGGTGATTTTCTTACTATTTGAATTTTACTGTGTGACATGAAGTATCATAGGGTTTCAACTCGATTATGTCATCTGCTTGATCTTAACATATGTTGCAGCCAAATTGCTATACAAAAGTTATAAGTGTTGAGGGTCAGAAAAAGATCTTCATCTATGCTAAGCGGCATATTGCAGCTGGTGAAGAGATAACTTACAACTACAAGTTCCCCTTCGAGGAAAAGAAGATTCCATGTAACTGTGGTTCTAAGAGGTATAAGACTTATGTTGATGATCAAATTTTTATCTATATTTTATTGTGCGAGATATAACACAAAGTATTGCACAGGGGAAGAAATTGATTGCTAGCTTAATCCTTTGTATGCTAGTTCTAATAGCGAAAGACAATCTCTCTTTGACAAGATGATAGTTTATGCGACTGTTATACCCATCACTGTTATTTCAGTTAAGCTTTCTTTTTCTAGATTTTTTAAGAATCAGCAATGCCTTAACCTTATTTTGTTATTATATGCATCGTCTCATCAGGTGTCGTGGCTCGATGAATTGAAATGCAAAAGAGATGCCAGATCTGATGTGTTAGGTATTTTAATTTGCTTCTGAAATTCTTTTGTTTGCTGTCTCTTTGTTTTCCACTACTAACTCCTTTTTCTTCTTCTTAGGGGTTCGTTCTTGACCTGTGGTTTACAAGACACTCATGCTGCCGTTTGCACAGAGTTCGTTATCGTGTACATCTTGTAAGCAATGGTATTGTCAATAGCAGTCCCTATTTTTATGTTTCTAGAAGCAGAACCCAATTTATACATTGTAGTGGAATTATTGTTTTTTGAATACAGCCATCTTTCACTACTAGTGTTGATATGCATTTTATTAGTTGTCGCTATTTGCGATGTATCTCAACAGAATATTTTGCCTTTGAATTGTCGTGGATGACTTCTCCCTAGATGCAAATCTTCATGCCTTTGTAGTTAAGACAATCTAGCAGTTCTCCAATGTATAGCTACCTGGATTAAGATGCAATATATGTATTGTCTATAGGTCAGGAAAATATGAAGTTTTTTTGGTCATTCTTTATACACATCAGGGATCATACTATAAGGAATAGAGCCGCACAAGAGTTGGGAGATATTCTTTTGAAACATAGTAATTAGTGTAAAAAATGTTAAGGTACTTCATCTTTATTCTAAAAGGCTCCAGGGCCAGTCTAGCAGTAAGAATACAGATTGTGATGTGTGTGCGTGCTTCTTGAGTTTGAATCCTGTCGCAGACAAAAAGCCTGGTACTTCAGTTGAAATAGGATATAAGGATGAACCCATCATCAACCGTGTCTTGAATTTTGCTCCCACAAATCCTCGAGTATTTCTCCAGTATAACAAAAGGAGAAGAGACATGTTTGAGTTGCTACTTGTATGTAATTTCTTTTTTCTTGCCAGCCAGCTAGTGAGACCTTCATTTCGTGATGTGCAAGCTCTTTAGGGGATAGTGTTGCAGTAGTTAAAGCAAAAGAAATATACAGAAGCATGCTGAGAAAGAATAACGGATATGGTGAATTTAAATTATACATATTAGAATGACAACTCAAGTGTTTGACCTAACAAATATGAAACAACTTACTAATTAATATTCCAAAATACATAAAATCAATCCAAGTGCGTCACAAGTATTATAGTTATGAGTAATTGTTAAATAGACCGAAGATCTTTTAAATAGAAGTTCTAGTATAGATGGGGGAATCTATGTTGCTTTGATTCTCCAACAATGCTGCCACAGCTCACATCTATGTTAGATCCTCTTAAAAAGAACTCTTGAAGGATGCAATGCCCACCCGACAACATTTTTGAAGGATTCGAGCCACATATGTCTACGTATACTGTATTCGCCCTATATGGTATTTGTGGGATCACAATGGGTATGTTGTTGTTGTGTGCGTCTCTCTCTGCTTTCTGCACACTCTCTTTCTCTCTTCCCTGCTTATTTGAGGCAATTGATTTGGTTGTGTTCACCTTTACTTTTAGCAATATAGCAAGTGGGGTCTAACGAGGGTAGGATGTACCCTCGTTAGAGAGGCTTTACTTGTTAAGGAATTATATACTCGAGCTACTTTGAAGGTGATTGCATATGGATCCGTACAAATCCCAAAAGATGTAATACAATGCACATACAAGTCATAGGACCCAATTGATGCTAATTGAAAATGGACGTGAGAACTGCAAATTTTAGTAATAGCATTTTAGGCCAATATGCTTTGTAACTTTGTTTTGCTACTTTGACGTCATTTCAGGGTTTTCCCTTGCAACTCCTGGTCAGGCGGTACCAGATGCATACACGTACTTCTGGGTTTACGCATTCTTGTGAAAAAAGGACGACGAATGTGTGCCCCTTGCATGTATTCTTGTAGATATCACAGTTGCAGATGAGTTCCTCCTCTTAAGAATTCAAAATCGGTTGTTCTTTTATTATGCAATCTCAAGGCACTCTTTTGGAACTATATCTCGTGTACAGACATACATTACAATATACCTTCACGTTTCAAGTATAATAATATACCATATTAATTTCACGGAATTCAAAGTACCTTTTAGTTTATTTGGTTGTTATGTTGAGAGATATCTCGTCTTGCGAGGGTCAATCTGAAAGTCTGTTCCTCACAAAGGTTGGGGTAAGGTTTGTGTACATCTTACTCTCCCTAGTCTCCACTTGTGAGATTACACGGGGGATGTTGTTGTTGAGATATCTTGTCACTGTTTCAGTGATGCGCTATTTATTTTCGTCAATCTTTACATGTACAGGTCACTATACTGTGTTATTTGTGAATTATTAGTCTTGATAATCTTTCCATAGATACATATTGCTATAATCTGCTGGCTAGCATGTTAGGAGAGTTTGACCCGAAACTCGATTTAAGATCTAAGATTGTTAAATTCTACCCTGACTATATGTGGATGTCCCTGGGGTAAGAGTAATTTTAGCAATGAATGCGGGCATCATATTGTTTGGACTCTTCAAAAATGTTTGTCAGATCTTCAAACACACACTCGTCGATATTTTTGAAGAGTCCGAGCTTACATAAGCCATGTGTATGCTCAAAATGCTAGAGTGCATTTACAGGTTTTTCTACCAAGGATAAATCAATACATGGATATAATTTTTCTTATTTTAGAATTTTTTTTAAATCACTTTGCAGTCGAGTTGATAAAATTTATTTTTTCTGCTTTAGAATCAAATCCCATTTTTGATAATAGGTTATAATGTTGTACTTGCATTATCACAAAGAAAACTTTTTTTTTGTTCTTTTATACCAATCTTTAGTTATTATTTGTCACAGGGACAATCAGATATTGCCTGTTCATTCAAAATTGCTAGTAGATGATGATGTGGGTCTCGATTGACGCCTTTCTGGTACGCGTCTTTTATCCTCTATTTAGTTTTTCTGCCCTCGATTGTTGCTAGTGGCACTCTCCCTCGATGATACTGTATGATAGTTTAGAGTGAAGCTCGTGAAGTGAAAAATACGCGAGTTAAGGGATTGGGTTGAGAGGGGCAAGAGATACACAGCTAATGACATATATTCTCCATGTTGAAGGTTTTTGAGTAAATCATTCCTCCAAAAATACGATTTGAAAACCGAATAAAAAGTAAATATACTTGTATTGGATTCATACTCGAATCCAATACTACGTTTCATCAGGCTACACGTCCAAGTCCAAGTTCGCTTGCTTTTTCTAGCCCTCCCGGAACTCTTTAAGACATATTCTAGCAACATTTTCCAAACACATTATGTATAAGTACAAAAGATGATAATAAAAGAAAGAAAAAGAACAAACTTGGTGTACAAAAATAAGTGTACATAATAATTAAGTTACTATTTTTTGTGTTTCATTTAGTAATATAATTAATTTCAAACATATTATATGGTATATTTTAGTAGTTAGGATCACATGATTCATAGTATATTTTGGTAACTTCTCTATAGTTTAACCATACAAGCTTCAATCGTTTTTCTTAAATTTCGTGTTCAGTCAAATTAAGACACATAAAATGTAACTAAGATCGTAATCAAACTAGGTGTAAAAACTAGAAGGTAAAAGATTCAAGGCTTAGTTTTAGTAGCAAATGTTGGACTTATGACCTTAGACGTGCGAAATACGTCTGATATTTGAGTGGAGAAGGATAGAAGATCGGATTTATTATCTTAAGAGTTTCGAAGACTATGTTTGGTCTTAACGGTTGGTTTTAAAAGAATTTCTCGGTTATTAAAAAAAGAGCGATTTTTCGAGTAGTTTGAGTTAATATTGACATAATATTTGCCATTTATGTTGAAAATTTTGTTGTAGTAATTGTAGTTTGATCATATTAGCAGCACTAAATTTATATATGTTTGGTATTTCTTTTTATTTTATTTTTTTGGTTAAATTATAGTTTTCATTTATGGCCCGTGGACCTTTTTTTTTTGGCCATGTATATAAGTAGATATAGATTAATTATATTTTGATGTATTCTACATTTAAGATCTTATTTGCACTTTTAGAATGATAAATTTGTAGTTTAAATTCTGTTGTATGTATCTAGCAACATAACTTATTTCTATTTTGTATATATACTTTTTCCATAATGATTTATTCGATAGCACGAATCGTAAATTGCAGTACAACTTAAGTCATATTTGCAATGCGTAATATTCTGCAAGATATCTCGTTTCGTAATATCTTTAGACATGTGGTGTCTGAAGTTTCATATGACTGAAGTTAAGTCGTTTTTGCTTGAAGTTTATGTATGTATATACAATTAGTGGCCATGTGCAAAAGATGAACATGATGGCCCAAGTTGTGGCCATACATGTGCATAACATGAATGATCTTTTCTAAAACATATTTTTTATACAAAAATATACACAAAAAGTGAAATATATCGAGGTACGTGTAAGTTGATCTAGATATTTGTTAATATATGGATTTGTCTATTTGTAAAACGTAATAAAATAAGTATGAAAAGAAAATACAGTAATGAAGAAGCTATCTTGAGGTAAGAATAGTAGCAACAATTTATAATATGTTAATCGGAGCAAAAGAAGTCGCGTGATGATAAAATCGGAGATTAAGAATATAGGATAATAGTAGTGATAATCTTGATAAGAAAAATTAGCTAATGCTCGACTACCTATTAATTATTTATCCTAATTTTCGACTACAATGTCTTTTTACCTAGGGTTATAAGTTCTTGGTAAGTTGCGTATATTTCATGTAATACCTCTTCAATTTATCTCTACCTCTCTTCATATCCAGTTAACTCCAGTGGCGGAGCTAAGAGTTACACGGAGTGAGTAAAAATAAAGTATAAATTGGTGGTGCTAGTGAGATTCAAACACGTGAGCACTTAGGGTGCTCTTTCAAGGAATCTAAAAAAATCATTAGACTACAACACCTTGTTCTGTCAAGAGCGTCTAAAATATGTTATTCAATCACTTCGTATATCATTTTACTAATATATCCGATACTATTTTTCGACTACATCTCTGGTTAACCCTCGTATTTCTTCATTGGGGATATTTGTGCATCTTTTCTCACATGTTCGAATCATTTCAGTCACATCATTCTCATTTTGTCCACTATATAGGTTATACTCTCCCCTTGTTATGAACATCTTCATTTCTAGCTCTATCTCTCCTGATATACGCACATATTCATTTCATTATCTTTATTTTCGCTACTTTCATCTACTGAACGTACCTGCGCTAAAATGCTCTTTTTTGTTTTTCTCTCTCCCCCCCACCCACCCCCCCCAAAAAAAAGTAAAGGTGAGTGGGTGAAGAGTGGAGTGGTAGTAAAAAAGAAAAAGAAATTTTGGTATTTAGTGTTATTTAAGTCAAGATTTTGTGATAAAATTCCAATTTAAAGGTCCACTTTTTTCCATAGCCAGTGTTACATTTGTCATTTTCTAAACAGAATTTGTATTCTGGCATACACCTTTGTTTTCATCCTGTTTGTGTTATATTTTCAATGTCCAATATTTTCATCAACTATTAAAAAAATAAAATTACTATAATATATATATATATACTAAATAAAAAGGAAAAAAAGATTATTATTATTATTACTATGTTTTGGTATATAAAGGACCATTCTTATTACTATGTTGAGTACATCCGAATTCGAAACTTTTTAGTTAAAAATAAAAGAATACTAATGATTGTACCATGTGTATGTTAAAGAGGATGGGATAGAGAAAGAAGAGTCGTCAATGATGAAAATTTTATTTTCATATTTTCAAGTGTCTGTTACGTGAACAATCATTTTTTAAACACCTCTTTAAATTCTACATTTAACATATTAGTGTAAATAAATCGTAAAATCTTAGACGATCGAGCTTACTCAGAGGCTGATATGTATTCGAATATTTAATTGAAATATATTATAATTTGAGTGCCTAAATAAAACATATCGATATATACCGAAGATTCAAACATTTTGTCTTATAAAAAAAGGGGGGGGGGAAGGGGGGAATGTATTTTTTTCTAATGGAAGCATATGGTAATGGCCAGCTGTTTAATTTGATATTTTTCATGATAAAAGATTAGCATAAAAAATATTAAAATATGAAAATGCATATCAATTTTGGTATAATAAAAATATAATTTTGTTGATGTGTTAGGCCTAAGATTCCAATAGAACCCAATGCAGAAGCAATGGATAGTGACATGCACACGAGTTCATATATATATATATATATATATATATATATAAAAGTATGTAATTCATATAATATATTAATTAATCTAATATTATATTGATTAAATATATTTTTAAATTTTTTTTTTTATGATAAATGGTGGTAGAGATGTTTAGCGATTGTGATTACCAAACGAGGAAGGATAGACTAGTGTAGTGTTGACTGATATAACAAATCATATATATATATATATATATATATATATATATAAAAGTATGTAATTCATATAATATATTAATTAATCTAATATTGTATTGATTAAATATATATATTTTTAAAATTATACGATAAATGGTAGTAGAAATGTTTAGCGATTGTGAAAACCAAACGAGGAAGGATAGACTAGTGTAGTATTGACGAATGATGGTAATTATAAATTATACGTTTTATATATATATATATATATATATATAAATAAAAGAAATCTTAGTAATTGGTTACAAATAAGTTTTGGTAACTATTTGTTTGTGTTTGATTATTTTAATAATAATAATAATAATAATAATAAATAATAATAATACATTTTTCAACTTTCAAAAAATACTCATGTCTTTTTCTTGGAAGCTGATCAAACACTTAAACTTCCAAAAATTGTTATTTTTTTAAAAAACTTTCCACTTTTCAAAAATTCAGTCAAAAAAATCATTAAAAATTGCCCATCTTTTAGGACAAATTTTAAAATTATAGCAAATGACCATATATTAAAACAAAATAAAAAACTATTTAGTACACAAAACATCAATTGTACGTTTAACATAAAATTCATAAAAAAAATGTATTCAAAAAATTAAAAAATAGATAATCTATCATCAAACTCGTATTATATCAATAACATGAAAAATATTTTACTGTTACTTTAAGAATTCAATCTCGAACCATATATTTAGCCTCACATGAAATAATTTTTTTTTCTAAAAGGTGTGAAAAGTGTAAGGTTTGTGAAGTCAATTTTATACAATTATTTGATTAATATAATATTTATTTCCACTCATAATATAAAGCAAAATCAAAGGATATCGTGTGCATGAATTGTTACACATGAAAAAGTCAATGGTTTATCTTCAAAGTTTTTGACTACAATAAAATAAAATAAAAATTAGAATATAAAATATAACTTAAGGTAATTTAATAAAACCAGATTAGCTTATATCTAAATGATGATATAAATCTCATATTTATTTAATATTTTGAGTTAATTTTTTTTTTTGCAATTATATAGGTAGTAACTAGTAAGTATAATAATTATATATGTTTTGTAGTGTTGTACTCTTGTTTGTTACTTAACTTAGAAAATACTAATACTCATGCATAATGATGTAATTATCTTGTTATATCTTCGACTCTATTATTTATTATTTAAAATTGTTGTAAAGTGATAAATATATTTTTATTTAAAAAATAAAAATTCAGGTTTAAAATTTAGAATTAAATCGTGTTTAGTAACATTGTTAAAATTTGAGCAACTTATCTTTACCTAAATGATATTTTTTTTGACACATGTGAGTTTGGATTAGTCGAGTTTTAAAAAAACATATCTTAAATCTCCATAATTAAAGAATTAATGTTCGCAGTATTTATTTAAGATCTGACTAAATTCAGATCGTGTCGAAGAATTTCAAGAGGATTCAAATTTGAAATATTCAATTAAGAATGAAAATGATTATTGTTATTTAGCATAGTATAATCGAAACTGATCTGATTAAAGATGAAACAAATACTTATTATTGCACCGCGTCCTTATTAAAGTCGGAGTGGGATTTCCATGACAAATTGAAAAAGATTATGTATTAAATTAATTTCACCAATTATTATATTATATTATATTATATAGTAGTAGTTTATTAATAAAAATAAAATAAGATAAAAGGGTGTTTCATGCATTTCCTTATTTCATGCAAGTGGTTTACGTACCATGTTCTTCTTTGAATTAGTCAATTTTACAATTTATTTTTAAAAATGTCAAAAACAAAATGATTATTTTTTTTAAAGAAAATTGAAAATAAAATAATAATAAAGATAATAATAACAATAATATATATTATGGTCTAGAAACCTAATAATACTTTATGAATTCGAGTTTGAAATTTTATTATAGATAATAATTTTAAATCATATAGTTCAAAATTTATTATTTAATTATTACTGTTTAAGTTAAATTTATATATATTATATCCGCCTTTAATAACTACTATTATATATTTTAAAATATAATTAAAAAAACTAAATTATCGAGTCATACTAAAAATAGTATTTTTTACGTAGTAATTATTGACAAGTAAGCTTAAATTGATTTTGTTAAACATTGCTAGTTAATTATTTTTTTCTTTTATAATAGTTAATTAATTATTAATACACGTTGAATTAACACACCATATCAAACATATAATAATTATTTCTTTGTATATACGTAATACTTTCCAATTAAGTAAGCTTAAATTTTCTAATTAAATACTCAAATGCAAGTTAATTTTTTTCCTCTACAACTATTAATTATTACTTAAAAAAAATACCAAAAAAGTATATTATAAATTAATTTTCACAACCCTAAGATAGTTATTCTCTTTGCATGTAAGTAACATGCATTAATTAAGCAAACTCTAATTTTTCTCTTTATGTATACTTAACTTTTAAGTACTTCTAATATTGTGTTTAAACCACTAATAATCTATAGATTATAGATTATAACAATTTTAATATACTTTGTGTTCACGTAAGTTTTATTACCAAAAAAAATGTCATTATATCCTCTTATTTCCTTTTTTTTTCTCGGTTTCGCACTCGCTGATCATAAAATCAAAAAATTTTCACTTTAAAAGTAAAGTATTCCATATCAAAAGCATCTCTATTTTATATATTGGAATTTAAAATTTATGATTAAGAACATAAAGACAATTAGGATCGATTGTA